GAGAGAGAGAGAGAGAGAGAGAGAGAGAGAGAGAGAGAGAGAGAGAGAGAGAGAGAGAGAGAGAAAGAGGGAGTGGAGAGTCGAGAAAAGGGAGAGAGAGCGGGGAAACCAGAAAGGAAGAGAGAGCAAGAGAGATAGAGAGAGCTGAGGAGCGAGAGACAGTTTGGGCCGCAAGCTTCTTTGGAGCTGTCTGTTCCGGTCGATAATCACGCCTTGTGAGTTCCGAGCACTTGGGCCACAAGCTTCCTTGGTGCTTGCAGTTCCGGTTGTAATTGTGCTGTGAGTCCTGATCATTTTCGGGCGCAAGATTCCTTGGTGCTTCCTGTTCCGGACATAATTGCGCCGTGAGTTCCGATCATTTGCGGGCGTAAGCTTCGTTGGTGCYTACAGTTYCGGTYGTTAACTGCGTCRAGATTGCGCCGTGAGTTCTGATCATTTTCGGGCGCAAGCTCCCTTGGCGCTTACTGTTCCGGTCGTTAATTGAGTCGTAATTGCGCTATGAGTTTCGATCATTTTTGGGCGCAAGCTTCTTAGGTACTTACAGTTCCGATCGTTAATTAAGCTATAAGTTTTCTAGGTGCTCTCTGTTCCGGTCGTTAATCGCGCCACAATAGCGCTGAGAGCTCTGAGCATTTGGGCTACAAACCTCTTTGGTGGTTACTGTTCCTGTCGATAATCGCGTCATAATAATGCTATGAGTTCTGAGCTTTTGGGCTATAAGTTCTTTTGGTGCTCTCTGTTCAGGTCGATTAATCGTGCCGCAATAGCGCTGTGAGTTCGGAGCATTTGGGCTGCAAGCCTCTTTGGTGTTTACTGTTCCTGTCCATTAATCACGTCATGATAATGCTCTGAGTTCTGAGCTTTTGGGCAACAAGTTCTTTTGGTACTTACTGTTCCGATCCTTAATTGGGCTGTAAGTTTATCGGTGCCCACCGTTCCAGTCAAAAATGGCTCGAAGATTGCGCCAAAAGTTCTGACCATCTGGGCAACAAGATCTTTGGTTCTTACCGTTCCTATCATTAAATTGTGCAGTGATTGCGCTACGAGCCCTGACCATTTGGGTTATAAGTCTCTTGGGTGCCTACTGTTCAGGTGGAAGTCTGCAGCATTTCGGTTACAAGTCTCTTTTGTGCTTGCGGTTTTGGCCTCTGAGCTCGAAGCACGAGTTTCGAGGTCTGCACGGTTTTTGCTCGAGTCTGAGCAGCATGATCGAGCCCTGCGCGGTTTCGTCACCAGTCTTTCTTGGCCTCGCTGCTCTCTAAGTCCTGTCCAGACCTCCCTGCTCTTACTAGCCTCCATACTATGCCCAACATTCTCTACGTTTTGCGGCCCCCGGGAAACTTAGTTCACCAACACTTCTCAAGAGCTAGCCCGCTACTCATGCTCTGCTGGCTGAGAACTCTTGAGCTCGCCGGCTTTTTTTTATCGCAAGGCTTGTTGGCAGGGTCTTTAGGCTTCATGCGAAGCCTCTCCCGGTCGTCTTCTCCAAAGAAGAGCCCGTCACAGAGTCTCTCGATGTTTCCTAGTCTCGGCAGGCTATTCTAGAGCACCCTTTTATTCGATCTTCGCCCCTCGGTAGTGAACCCTCCCCGTGCACCCTCTAGCCCCCGCGCCTCGAACTGCCGGGAATATCTAGGCTAGGCCAGGCCCGGAAGGGAGCCCGGGGAAGGGGGTACTCAGAGACAGCGAGGGCGAGGGGAACCAAACCCGGCGTGCGGTGCGTGCAGAGTCGCGGGCCGCGCCCCCCCCGACTTTCCGTAATAGACAAGTAAAAGAAGGGGGTCCCCCGACAAAGTGGTGGCGTTGCCGGGGAAAAGCATTTCTCCCGCGGCCGCGGCCGGCTCAAAGGATTCGGTGTAAGGGGAGGACCGGCGTGGCAGGCAGCGGTAGGGAGAGTTTGGGGTATTCTGCAATTTTTTCGGCGTCAAGTCCTTCAGCACGCGGCTTCAAGTTTTCTTCGACTCTTCTCAAGCGACATCGGCAAGGGTTTTATTGGGGTTTGTCATTGGGTTTTTGGGTGCGGGGGACTTGGGGTGTTGGACTTGTCTCCTCGGCTTTTTGCAGGTCCACTCCGGCCCACTTGCGATCTCGGCCCCGCTCCCGGCCTTCAAAGGATAAACAGGTCAGTTCCTTTTTTTTGTGTGCTTGATTTTCGCGAGTGTTTATTTCTAAAAATCTAAAAACTAAGGGGGTGCACAGTTTGCTTGAGGGGGCTGGATGAGGGTGAAGAACAACGAAAGGGCGGGAAGAAAAACAATTCGGGAAAATTGTGTAAGGGGGTCTGCTCGAGGGGAAAAGAGAGAGAGGGAGAGGGGGAGAGAGGAGAGAGGGGTCCGAGAGGGTCCGGGGGCACTGTCTATTTGGGACCCTAGAGGGTCGCCAAATATTCTTGATCCGCACGGGTTGTGGAGGGCATCTACCCGGGGACAAAGTCCTACACGAGAGAGGGTGTCTAGAGAGGGGTTAGGGGCTTCGGTTCTCGACCCGCAAGGGCTGGTGACGGGACCAACTCCCGCAAGGGAGCGGGACTCTCAAACGGGGCCGGTTCGGGACTTGGGGGAGAGGAGAGTGGTGTTACGGGTACCGGTGCGAGGGGGAGAGAGAGACACACCCACCCTTGCTAGTGAGGGCGTTAGAGAAGAAGGGGGTACTTGGGGGTCCTTGGACGAGGGATCGGGGGCCGAATCCAGGGTGGACCGGTGTCTAGCCGATTTCTCGGACTCGGATCTGGGGGACTATTGGGATTATGATAACGAATATTGAAGACACAAGGTACGTATGCTTATCAACTCAACCTAAGAGCCTCTTCCTAAAGCCCCGCTTTTCCCACCCTATTTTTTTTAACTTCCCGATTTTCCAGTGATTCCAAGAGAGAAAAGAGGTAGCGGGAGGCGGAAAAGGAAGGAGGGAACGAAGTGCGAAGAGTTCGCGATGAGGAGAATGGGGGGTGAGTAGATAGGCTAGTGATTTCTGATAAATAGGTGGATCTTGTCCTGGGACCCGGGTAATTCCACGCTTGAGGTGGGCCGAGTAGAGGCGTGGTACCGGATAGGTTAACTTAGGACTAGAGGTCGGTTCAGTGGGGGACATAGGACCCAGGTGTGTGACTTCGGTCCGACTCCGGGGAGGGGGTTGCCACCCTTCCTCGGGGATAACCTGTGTCCGCGGCTAGTCTCTAGGCCTGGAGTGGGGAGGAGTCTCTCAGCGGGGGAGGACAGGAAGGTAGCCGAGTGAGACGGCGTTCCTTCTCTGGTCCATTTAATCCTTCTGAGCTCACAGGCTTCTTCTCCTTGCGGGATAGAGGTGGTCTCTCGAGTGGCCAAAAGGAAATAGGGACTTAGGGAATCTTCCTTTGATTATATTGCATGAGCTTAGAAGCCGTTCCGGAGTGGATTAGCGTGTGTACGTACGGAAGTGTTGACGCGTGGTGTTACTCTTTTCGACTGTGGACGGGTGATTTTGATGTGGGTGTCTATGTAGAGCAGGGACAAGATCGAGGAGAGGACTTCCTTCGTGGGTGGGAAGAGGCAATAGGCCACTCCCGCGGTTCGCGGGAGAAATTGAGGGGTTATGGTTACAAGTATTTTTACTCTCTAGGATATCGAACCTACCCCAGAGGTGGTCGTCCGGCGTCAGTAATTCCGAACACTTATCTCGACGGATCGGACGACTGGAAAGCGCTAATAGGGATCGTGGAAAGGGTAGTGAAAGCGGCAAATCCATGAGTTTGAGGGCTCTAGAGTTTGAACCTGCGGGAATTAGCGTGGGTGATCAAGGTGGGGTAGACGTGTGGTGCTATACTTTCTACTAGTGGACTGGCCACTTCGACATAGCCCTGTACGTGGAAGAGGGTGTTGATAGAGAGACTGGGTTTTGGATAGTTGGGAGGAAGTTGTCGGTCACGCGCAGCTCGAGAGGCAACTGTTGGGGGCTTACGAGATTAATTACTTCTACTCGTTGGGGTGTAGGACGTATTCCCGAGGGGGTAGGCCTGTTCCTACTATTCCGGAAGCCTTCCTGGACGGGTCGGACGAGTGGAGAGCGCTATTTCAAATCATAGAGGAGATAGTCCAAGGGGATGGTTAGGATCATAGAGGGTACTGAAGAAGAAGGGGTTCGAATAGAAAAAGCGAATTTAAGCAAAGACAGGGAGTGCTTTAGCGTCCCCTTAGACCACCGCACGGAGAGGTATCTAGCCGGCCGCGAGAGGGGGTTAGAGTTAGAACTAGGGGTTTTTCTTTGGGCTCGTTTCGCGGTAGGAACTTGGGAAGGGGACAGGTGATCCCGGAATAGGCCCCGGGACGAGAAGAGACCCAGATGAATGGTGGTCCGGGCGGAAGGAACTGTCTATTTGAGTAAGGAGGTCTGGGTCGATTACGTCACTCACTTGGTCCTAGGTTGGTACCGTGCGGATCATTGGGAGGCACGAGCGGGTCCGATTTTGAGACAGATTTTTGAGGCGGAGCCCCTTAGACACTGCCCACCAGTTGAGGTAAGGGTGACTTGCGCGCGAGACGAGGAGTACCCTCGCACCACAGGGTGCATCAGAGCCATATTCCCATCGTTCGTTTTCCGAAGGGTGAGCGGGAAGGAGGAGCGGTACGAGAGGGTGGTGCGGTCCATAGTGCGAGAGAGGGGGTGGCAGCTCTCCGTTAGGTCGCTTCATTGGTACTACACCTACTGGGTAGATAACCCTGTACCATACGGGGTCAAAGCCTGTAGGATTCGAGCAGGGATCTTTAGGGAATCGGCTCGGGACAGCGAGGGCGGGCGAGATTACGGCTACCAAAGGGTCTTCGCGGTAACTCAGAGGATGTTCTAAATGAATGGTGTTCCACGATAGGGAGCAGAGACGCTTTGTCGAGTCCCCCTCGGAGGGCGGTGAGACCCTTAGATTGATTCCTAGCAACAGGGAGGTTCCCGACTGGGAAAGGATAGAAGGAGTTAAGGCCACTGTGAGCGGGGAGTTCGTGTGGGTAGAGTCAAAAGAAGTTGAGGGTCGAGGGGGTGAGAAGTGTCTCAAGGTGACCGTTGTTATCTTCGTGGCCCCCAAGGCTTGGGCAAAGGTCGTAGTACCCCTGGTCCTGGGACAAGGGGGTGGGCTGGGTAGGTTGTTACGAGAGGCGAGGGAAGTAAGGGAGGAATGGATAAGTAGGGTTCGGGAGCGATTTGCGTTTACGGCTATAGAAAGGGAGAGGTTCGCAGGAGAGGGAGAGCTTCCGAGGGCATGCTATCCGTTAGATGTGAAGGTGCCGTCTTTCCTGTTCCAAGGGACTGACGAAGGAAAGATAGTGAGGCTTCTAGAGAGGGGAAGGAGTCTAGGATTATCCTTCGGGGCCCTGTGGACGCTGTACACGCACTGCATCGATCGGGGTGTCCCTCCACGCAGGAAGCTTTGGGGCGTTTTTAGGAGATTGGGGTCTCTAGAAAAACCCTTCACTCTCGCATCAGAGAGATACCATCAGTGGGTTTTCAAAACAACGATAGTAGATGGTGAGATTCGTGCTCAATGAGAATGGAGCGGTTGAGTCGATAGAGGCTAGTGACGCGGATAAAGTCTTGATTTCGGGAGACCCTCGAGTGACTCCTTACTGGATGAGCGTTGAGAAAGGGGGATTGATCTGAGAAGGGGCCTACGTGTGGGTTCGAGCTCGAAGGCTCACTTGGAAGGAAGGTGTGGAAAGGGGAGGCCCACCCGACCTCGGTCGTTTCCTGGAGATTCGGGCTTCCATTTTTTTCAACGAAGAGGTGTGGACTGAAGTCTGGAGGGGCTTGGTAACTGGGCAACTAACGCATTTTGAATACCGAGAATCCGCGAGGCTGTTGGCAAACAACCTAGTGTTAGTTGACTACGAGGAAGGAACTTTCGAGTCGTGGTCACTAGTGTCCTTCGCCGAGCCCGGAGAGGTCCCTCGCACGTCCGGGGTCCTCCACGCTAACCTACCCCAGTTCGTGACCAGCTCGTTCCTAAGAGACCCGGAGGAGAGAATAGTAGAAGTGCTTAGAGCGGCTCGAGAATCCGAGGTGCGGTCTAGGGGGTTATTCTAGCTTTATACTCGGTGCGTGGACGCGGGGGTTCCCCCAAGAAGTGAGTTGTCCGCCATATTCAGGAGGTTGAGAGAGTTTGAGGGACTTCGATCGCTCGTCGCGGACGTTCCGTACGCCCGCCTCTTCGGGGAAGAGCAAGTGGCTAACCGGCGGGGTTTCGAGGGCCGATGATAAGGGGGATCCCGAAAACTCTCTGGGCGTCAATAGAACCCGTAGAGGATACCGGGGAGGTAGTCAGTGTCACTCTACCTAGAGCCAGATTGACTGAGCCTACTAAGACCCTCCTGCGAGAAGAAGGGGAAACCCGGCGCGGTAAGGCTTTCATACGATTTGCGGTGAGTCGCGAGGGGAGGGTTGTAGTTGGAGAAGCCCGAATCTTCCTTTCCAAGGAAGGCCTTGTAGAGATAGCGTGCAGCTTACGGATTGGGCAGGACCCTCTCTGGGACGCTCGAGCCATGAGAAGCCGACTAGGAGAGTAAGTAGAGGAGTTAAGACCTCGCGAAGGGTGCGACGAGGAATATCGAGTGACCTACGGAGGTTGGGAAGAAATACCACGGTTCATCTCCAGTGAGCCGGTGGAGGTCCCCCGTTTCATTTTTGAGCGGGTCTACCCCTCCGAGGCTGTTAAGAGGGCTGTAGAAAGAAGGATTTCCATCCTAAGTCAGTTCCGGTTAACGGGATCGGACCTCCATACCTTGTTAACTTGGTGTTTTAGGGATTCCTATAGGGACGATTGATCGACTCTGGAGGACCTGGGTTACGCCTTTGAAGGATGGGGTCGACACACAAGGGAGTCTAAGATATCGTGGAGATACTTGGGTAAGATCTGCGAGGGGGAGCTAGCAGGGTTGGACCCCTCATATTTAATTCGGATAGCAATTGCGTGTCGTCGATGGAAGTTAGGGGATGAGCGAGCCGGACCTTGAGGAGCTTGTGGGGTTGGAGAGAGTGAGAGAGGAAGTTCACCGGATCCTCGCACGGTGCTGGGAGGAAGAAAGGAGGGCTAGGCCTGGGTCCTTAGCTAGGATCAAGCTACTTGAGACAGCGGCAATCGCTATCCTCGACGAAGTAACAATAAATCTTCTCGCGCGGTGAGGGGATGAGAGCTTCGTTCGTCTCCAATAGGATTCGTTGGGAATTTGAGACCTACAAGGATGGTAGCGAAGTTAGGGTCGAGGGAAGTGTGGAGCTTAACCCGGAATTGGGAGAGGACCGAGTGGTCCGCTCCGAGACGGAATTTCTAGTGGAAGTCCGACGGCTGGCCTTGTGGAAAAGAAGAAGTTGGACCACGCTAGCTAGCTTTTCGGTCCACATTAGGGACGCGGGTGGAGTGAGGTCCTCAAGAGCTTGGAGAAAACCCTTGCTAGAAGCAGAGAGAAGATTCGAGGAAGACTCTAGGTATCTAAGAACATCGCTGACGTCTATGACGCACCTTGTGGAAACCCGATTTTGGGATAGGACGGGAGATTACGAGGAGGCTTTGCGTCAAACTCTGCGAGAGGACGAAGAAACCGGTCGCGCTAGGTGCGAGGACTCGTTGGTCGAGGCCGCCACAAGGTTGGCAGGCGTGAGGTGAGGCTCCTATGATTAGATACGATAGGGGGAACCTTATGGTACCTTGGATAGGGGTTGGAAAACCAGGGGGCGGTATGGAGTGACCCTCCCTAGAGTTAGAGGGGAAGGAGTGGTATCTACCGAGTTCTTCGAAATCTACGGGCAAGAGACGGTGGTCAGGTTCTCAGTGGCGTCCGAAGGAGGCAACTGCACTAGGAAAGCAGAGATTTTTTTGTCCCCCGACGACCGATTAATCTTTGCGACTGAATTAGCAGAAGGAAAGGACCCCCTAGGCATCGCCCGCACGGCCCTGGACCGACTGAGGAGATTGAGAGGCGGCGAGGGACGCATGGTCGATAGAGTGGAGTACCGGGGAAGATCAGAAGTTCCCAGGGCGGCTAACGGGAGGACTTGGGAGATCCCTACCTGGGCCAATCGGCTACTCTATGCTGATGACGAAGCCGTAAAGAAGGTCCGATTTAGGGGTCATGTGATAGAGAAATTTCCATTAGGTGAAGAAAGGGGACACAAATTATTCACCCAGTGCTGGGAGTCGAGAGAGGACACCAACTTCGAGTGGTGGGCGCGCGTTGGGGAATTCATCAAGCCCCTGTTCTCCGAACAAGCTGGGGATGTGGACAGGGACTTGATTAGGAGATGTGCGCAAGAAGGGATTAGGGGCATCTCGGACCTGGAAATTGCAAACCTTGCATTGGCCGCTAGCGAGGAGAAGAAACTGAGGGACTCTTGGTGGACAGTGACCAGTGAGGAGTCGGAGCGAGAGGGTGCTGGCGAGGATTCTCGTGAAGAGAAGGGGGGATCGGAGGAAGAAGAGGACTCGGAAGATAGCACAGACGATAGTGAGGGGGACGAGCCGGAAGATAACGCAGACGATAGTGAGGGAGGCGACTAGAAATAGCCAATAAGGGTGCATGGAGAGTGAAGTAGAGACTGGTCTCTCTAGCCCGCCGGAAATCGCTGAAAGAAGGGGGGTAGTGAAGAGTCCCGAGTTGGGAGCTAGGCTAAGTAGGGTGGTGGAAGAAATGACTAAGGGAACGGAGACGCTAGGAGGGACCGAAAGGGGTCCGGAAATGGCTTCCGGAGAAAGACAGGCCTCGGAGGGTCAAAGAGCTGGCACGGAAGTGCGAGTGCACAGGGATGTGGGGCCGCGGGTGCCGGTGAACGAAGGGGTCACCGAAGCCCCAAGAGGCGTTCCGGTGGAATCCCGATGGGCGGACCCGATGGACGCGGAGGCAAGGATAGGGGAAGCGCAGGAATTTCCTAGAGATAGGCAGGGGTATCGACCACTTAGGGCAGAGGAAGAAGAGTGTCAGGACAGGAGGGACTTAAGAGAAGGGAGGTCAGCAGAGACCGGCGGCAGGCCACGGAGATGGGTCGAAAGGATCCCGGAGGCCGTCACAGGTGAGAGGCAGGCTTTGGTAGGACAAAGAATTGGCACGGAAATGCGAATGCCGGCGAGAGAAGGGGCGGTTGAGGGCTCGAGGGGCCTTCCTATAGAATCTTGGTGGGCGGATTTACCGGACGCGAGAATGGGAGAGGCTCTAGAATTTCCAAGAGATAGGGTGGGGTGTCGGCCACCCAGGAGAGGGGAGGAAGGGGGACCGAGCAAAAGGGACCTTAGAGACGAGAGGCCAGCAGAGGCTGGTAGTAGGCCACGGAGGTGGGCCGAAAGAGAATCGGATGCTGCATGGGCTCCCCGCGAGATAACGGGCAGAAGTCAGGGGGTGGAGGCCTGGAGAGGCTTTAAAGGGCAGGACCACGCTCGGTGGGAGACGGATTGGCCGAATGAGGAGAGCCGCTACGGGGAAGACCCCTGGGGACCGCCAAGACCCCGGGCACAGATAGAGGAGCCGGATCCCTCGTGGTACAAGCCGTACGACCCAGCAATCGATGGGCCAATGGAAGGACCCTATTTTCGCCGATACGACGACCGACGAGTCCCCTACTACGACGTCAACCTAGGTCTGGAGGCACTTTTCTTCGACGGACGTGATGTGACTGGGTTCATGGAGAAATGGGAGAGTTATGCTTACCGTAAAAGATTCTCCGAAAGAGAATGGATCGACTACTTCATCCAGCACTCGGACCCCGAGTTGGACCGCGCGATCCGGGCTATCTACCCCGCGGTTGGTCGATGGAGGACCTTCGGGACGAGTCTATTGCGAACTTTCGCCTGTGATGATCTGATCCCTACCGTGGAGGGTTTGCGACGAATTACAAGGGGAGAACGAGCGAGCTTGGTGACCTTCACCCGTAGGTTCAAGCGCCTGTCCCAAGCCCTGGTGGATAGGGGGATGTTGTCTGAAGTGGATAGGTGCGTGATGTTCATGCTGCACCTACCCGAGGAAAAGAGGAAAGAGGTCCTTGAAAAGGCTCCGAGGGATTCTGCCAATTTCGAGAAAGTCGCCAAGGTGGTTTTCACAGGGGGAGGAATGGATGTGAGGGAGTACATGAAAGAGACCTTGGACATGGCACTCCGCAACATGCGAGGCACGCGGAACGATGGTCCAAGAGGGAACGATAGACCGCCCCCGGGTCCACCTGGTCCCCGGTGGGGAGAACGGCCGACCGGATGGAGGAACGAATCAAGTGGTCAAGGAGGTTGGAGGAACGGCCGGGAGATAGGGGGGAATCGTGGTTCCGATTGGGGGAATTCCCATTGGAAGGATGCTAGGGATGGAAGGTGGGGAGACACCCCTCAAGCAAGGACTTCTGGGCCATGGCCTGAGGTTAGGGCGCCGCCACCACCAGCGCCACTGCCACCGGCTCCTCCTGCGCCTATAGTTGCGACAACGCAAGGGGGTCCGCGTCTCAACAACCCGCAGGCTCGAAGCGGGTGTGTCTACTGCAATGAAGAAAATCGCATCAAAAGGGACTTGCCCTTATTTCACGGAGGCCTTAAGGTTGGGGGTGGTCAAGCTGAATGAGAACAAGTGGGTTGTGTGGGGAGATAGCGGAGAGGCGGTCTCCTTTTACCCATCAATGAAGGTGAACGTGGACAAATGGATGGCCCTCCATGAGGCTAGTCTGGGGAAGAAACCGAAAATAGGAAGCTCCTCCAATACAGCCCATATCCAAATGACGGAGTCACCGGGGGGGTTATCCATTAGGGAACCCTAGGTGTCAAGCATCAAGTTCATAGAGACCCAGCCCGAGGAAGAGAGGCCTTGCCTAAAGGTGAGAATGCAGGTTGGGACCGAGATATCCGAGAGCCAAGAGAGTGTGACGGAGGGTACGGGAGTAAGGAGCGGCGACAATGACCAACCAATGGCCGATGCCAAAGCAGTGGAGGAAAATAAGGAAGAGCCCACCTCACCCAAATCGCCCAAAAAGAGGGGGCCCAAAACGTTCGAAATGAAATGCACCCTGGATGAGATAGACACGGTAGCCCCCCTTAGGAGAACCCTGATGCAGCCTATGCAGTGCACACTTTTGGAATACCTGGCCGCCAGCAAAAGCGTCAGAGAAGAACTCCTAAGCATCACGAGGAAGGTGAGGGTCCAGCTCGCAGGAGGACCCACTGTGCCGGTGGAAGGTCCAACCAAGGAAGAAGTACAGGCCTCCCGCATTACCATGGAGGAACTACCTGTCAACTTCTTCTCAGGTGAGGAGGCCAAGAAATTCTATGTGTTAGGCAGCGGCCAGCTCCAGGCTGTGGTAAGTAGGAAAAAGATGAGGGTTCTAGTAGACAATGGGTCCAAGTCTACGGTGTGCAGGGACTCCATCGCACAGGAGATGGGCTTGGAGATAGATCGAGGGGTATCAATGTCAATGGTAGTGGCCGATAACAAGCTGCAACCGGTGGAAGGGGTGTGTCATAGCCCCGTGATTGAGGTCGCTGGCGTAGAGGCCACGGTCCCAATCTTTTCGGTAAAAGAATGCTCCTCCGAGTTGATCCTCGGAAGAACCTGGCTAAGCGCGGTTCACGCTACCACGGTTGATTTACCGGAAGGAAGTCAGACCCTCTCGATCCAAAGTCCGGATGGAATCCGAGTGGTCCTAAAGACCGTAGATGTGCAAGATGAGCGTAACCGGACCAGCGTTGCTAGACGCAAGGGGAGCCAGTCGAGGGTGTGTCGAGTCCGTCTGGAGGAGGTGCCCTTGACGGATAGGGGACCCAAGGGAGACCAACTGGAGGTCGAGGATGTAGGGGATAGGATTGTGATTAACGGTATGGGGTATGAGAAGGAGGACAAGGAGGAGGAATTCGGTGGATGCGTGAGTATGTCTTTTTTGGAGGTATACCCCTAGCCGGCGGAGTTAAGAAGCATAAAACCGTGGCAGAGAAAGTAAAACCCGCCGCGGTCAGCCGGGATAGAACGGGGGAAGCTACAATATCGGAGGGGGAGATAGCCGATATCATCCGGAAAAGGAAAAAGACTGAAGGGCAAAGGATAATGGCCGATAGGTTGGCCAAGATGGATAAAGGGGATGGGAATCTCACGGAGGAAGAGAAGGAATTCATAGCCATGACCTTAAGGGGCTGCGATAAGGCCATTGCCTTGATGACTCGGAGAGAGGAAGGATCGACCCGAGGTACGCTAAGCCGGCCCGGATCCACACGGTCCCACACGTGCCTTGGAAGGATAGGCCCCAGTGGAAGTATGCTCAAAAGGAGAAGGAGGAGATAGTGGCTTTTATCAAGGAGAAGATCAGAACATTCGTCGCAGAGCCTTGTAAGAGTGCTTACTCCAATAAGTGGTTCTTTCTGAGAAAAGGGGGTAGCAACAACCTAAGGTGGATACAAAACCTCCAAAGGACCAACGCGGTCACTATAAGGGATGTGGGATCGATATCGGAGGTAGACCTACTCGCGGAAGGGTCGGCAGGTCGTTCGATATACTCGATCTGTGATCTCTTCTCGGGGTATGATGAGATCCCGTTAGACTATCGCGATAGGCATATGACCGTCATGCATACGCCTCTAGGGCTGGTCCGAATGATGGTGGTGTCCATGGGGTGGACTAACAGGGTGGCAGTGTTCCAAAGGGCCATGATAGCAGTCCGCAAGGAGTTCATGCCTGAAAAAGTGGAAGTCTTCCTTGATGACTTTCCGATAAAAGGGTCGGTCGAACGGGATGAGACGGAGGTTTTGCCCGGGGTAAGAAAGTTCGTGGTAGACCACATGAGCGATGTCAGGGATGTCCTTGTGAAATTGGATGATGCTAACCTCACGGTGAGCGGAACCAAGAGTCGCTGGGGCGTATCGTCCATTAAGATACTAGGGTTCATCTGCGACAAAGATGGGCGGAGGCCCCATCCTGAGAAATTGGTGAAATTAATGACCTGGTCGTCGCCACTCAAGTCCATTACGGAGGTCAGGCAGTTTTTAGGTGTGGTGGGCTACTGGCGAATCTTCATAAAAGGCTACGGTGAGAAGGCGTAACCTCTTAGGCGGTTACTCAGGAAGACGGAAGGTTGGGTTTGGGGCGAGGAGCAGGCGGCAGCCATGGAAGCCCCAAAAGAGGAGTTCCGCGAAGGAGGGCCGGTCCTAGGAGTTCCATTCTTCGAAGATGAGGAGAGTCGCCCTTTTATAGGTTTCACGGACGCTGGACCTCACTCGGTGGGAGGCCTCCTGTCTCAAAAGGACAGAGAGGTGAAAGAGAGACCGTTGCGATTCGAGAGTCGGACCTTGAACCCCGCCGAGAGGAATTACAGCCAATTCAAAAAGGAGGTGTTGGGGGTGCTACATTGCCTAAAGGCCTTTCGCCACTATCTATACGGGCGACGATTTCTCCTAAGAGTGGACCCAACTGCAGTAGCAGCGATCCTTCAAAAGGATTTTTCACTGACTGATCTGACCATCATCCGATGGATGATACACATTAGGCTTTACGACTATAGGGTCGAGAGGATATCGAGGACCAAGAACCAGGTCGCGGACGATTTGTCCCGGCTTCCCATTCGTGAGGAGGACCTACCTAGACTTAGGGAGGAAACGGTAACAAGGACCGAAGAAGGGGTAATGCAAGTAGACGCTAATAAGGCACAAATAGCGGAGAGCGGCCGGGTAGAAGAAGGAGCCCCGAGGACCTTTCTCGCAAATCTCTATGACAGAAAGTATCGGGACATAGGACTGTATTTGGCCGGTAGGGAGGCAGGGACCAAGAGAATCCGGCAAGAAGCGCTAGGATAATGCCTACGAGGAGGCCATCTCTTTAAGAGGCCCACGAAGTTCGATATTCCTATGAGAGTACTATGCGATACAGAGGAAAGAAGAGCGGTCATAGAGGAACTACACGATGGTGTCGTAGGAGGCCATAGGGGGGTGAAGGGTACTTTCGATAAGGTCCGTAGGCTTTATTGGTGGGACGGTCAATACACTGAAGTAGAAAAGTATTGTTCAACGTGTAAAGCTTGCCAGAAGAGGGCGACGGTTCGGTACAAAGAACCCTTAGTTCCATCGCTTCCCACGGTTCCGGGTGAGAAGGTCCATGTAGACTTAGTAACCATGCCAAAAGGGGTTGGCGAACTTCGATATATAATCAACGTCCATGATGACCTCACCGGGTTTGTAGAAGCAAAGGCTATTAAGAAGAAGACGGGAGAGGAGGTAAGTGATTTTCTCCTTGAATATATCGCGTGGTACGGGTGTGTCGGGAGAATAGTCATGGATAGGGGCGCAGAGTTTTTGAGCCAAAAAGTCAAGGCATAGTTGGAGAAAGCAGGGATCGGGGCGGCCTATACAACTGCTTATAACCCCCAAAGCAATGCGCCGGTAGAACGGGGTCACCAGACGCTTGTGAACGCTCTAGCAAAGTGGTGCATGGGTCGCACGGAGCAATGGCCGAAGTATTTGCGGTACGCAGTTTGGGCATATAATATCACGGTCAAATCTAGTACGAGATACCCTCCTTACACCCTTTGGTTCGGTAGGCATTGTCCCCTACCCATCGAGTTCCACATCGACACTTGGACGAGTGTCTCGTGAAAAACCAACATGACCAGGAATGAACTGTTGGAGGCACGGATACAGCAAATAGCCGAGAACTTGGATGTCGTGCTAACCGAGGCAGGGGAGAATGTCGGGAAAGAGAGGATGAAAGGGAAAGATAGGTGGGACAAAAATCTCCGAGTCCGGAAAACGCCGATAGGGGTCAACGACCTGGTCCTCATGTACGATTCATCCTTAGAGAAGACCTGGAGCCGGAAATTAGCAAACCGATGGATGGGACCCTATAAAGTCCTGAAGAGATTGGATAGGGGGGCATACATACTCACCGGATTAGATGGGACTAGGCTTCGGGACCCTATCACGGGGGCTCGCCTCAAACTCTTCCGATCAAGAGGGACTCTTGGGGTGGAACCGAAACGAAAAGCGAAGGAAGCGCTTGACACAAAATTGACCATCACTCACGAAGAGGGGGAGACCTCCAGACAAGGGGCCTCGTCTCGCCCACCAAAGAAAGGGTACAAAGTTCGGAAGCCTTCCCTACCAAAGACACCCAGGAAGAAGAAAAGACCTAGAGAGGATGATGGTGACACCGACCGGTTAGGAAAACGCAGGCTAAGAGAGAGAACGGACGCCTCAAGAAAAGCCTTGAGAATCAAACGGGAGAGGGGAGAAAGAAAACGCAAGAGAGAGATGCGCGAGAAGAGGATGAGGAGACAAGGACGAGCATAGAGTCGCTTGGGGAATATTGTACTATAGACACGTTCCGAGAAGGATGATGTGTCGAAAGGGAAAATTGTACCATAGTTAAATGCAAGAGTGTACCATAGTTGGAGCGGCAGGTGTTGTAAGGGGGTAAGGATCCAAAGGGAGAAATGTACTGTGAGTAGTGTACCATAGTTTAAAGGTGGGGTTAAGGGAGAGGGTGGAACCTTGACAAGACAATAGGGGTTAATCTAACCAAGGGAATGGGATGAAACAAGAAATACACTTCAAAGGTAAACATTGGGTGTGGGGGAAAGTTTAAAAGAAAAAGTTATGAGAGGGGCTCGCCGGGGACGGCGAGAAATGGGGTGTGGGCTGGTTGTCGGGCGGCTGTCTACCAGCCAAAGGTTTTTTCTTTAAAAAGAAGACATTTTTTTCCATTTTTTATGTTGTTTCTGTTTGGTTCGACGTGTGCGTGCATGAGGATATGGTGTTTTTGGACGTCCTTGGGCGTCCGAGTCTTCGTACTAACCATTTCGATTGGCCGAGTGACGGTCCGTACCTTGGTCGCAAGCGGGCTCAGGCGGATCATAAAGATTGGAGTTTCGGGTGTCTGAGTCAGAGAATGCGGGGCGGACGGTGTGCATCGGAATGGTCCTTGATCGAATCGAAAGCGTGCGGCCAATTAAGGTCAGGGACTTCAGTTGTGGATGGCCACCGAACAACCGCGGATGTACATGGCAGGTCTACTCGTGTCTGGCATGGTCTGCTGTGCCGGGAGGTCGGGGAGTACGCCACGCCGCCCGACACGACTCTGATACGGCGACCTGAGGGCGTCTGCAACGATGCGAAAAATCGGCCAAATAGCGATTCTCTGAGTTGGCAGCGAGTTTGAAGAGGGGCTGGTGCTCGCGCCTAGGAAAAATTGGTTCGCACGGTCTCCTAAAGTTGGGTTGGAAGGGGGAAGAGAGATCTGATAGAAGGGTGGGCCCTATAAAGGTCCAAAAGACCCTGAACAGCAGCAGGAATACTTCAGGCGGGTCGCGTGATTGGTTTCTTGGACACGGGCAATCGGGAAGAGCTCGGTACGGGGTGTCGATCGACTTCGCGAAGCAGAAAGGTTAGAAAAGGGCGATCGGTGTTCGGAGCAACATCTATGGCGATCGGTCTTGGGGGAAGAATGGGAGGTATGGTCAGTTCCTCACACGGCTGATATCGCAGCCGCATGACGGGCTAATCAGCATCCGGACTGAGAAAACTTGCAGTGAGAAAGGTCTATTGGGCAAGAATGAAGGGGAAGAGGAGTTTTTTTTTCCTCCTATAAGGTCTTATGGTGCGAGGAAAGACGAGTGAAAATAAGGGGGGCCGGCGAGGCAGTAAGGCGACACGCGACCTGAGAGGAAACTCAACCGTTGCTTAGAACGGTCACCAAGAACGATTCTTGAGAATCGTCACAAAAGGGTGTTAGGCGCTGAGAACAGGTAACGGGCCAAGAGGGAAGACGAGCGGACGCAAGAGGAAAATCTTCGTAGGGGAGCAAAGAGGAGGCGAATGGATGAAATCATGGGTTCATCAAGGCAAAAAGGGGAGGACGCGACGAGGCCAACTAATGAAAAAGGGAGACGAACGGATGAGGTTCATCCGAGGTGAGGTGCGGCAAAGCGAGGAAGGTGTGCCGGGAAAACCTTTGAATCCGCGGACAATGGAGGGA